AAGCTCCTCGCTTGCACCCCGTCCCTGATTGCCCTCTTAGTCAGTAGGCGGTTACGCTGTTGCAGAGTCACCCCACCCTAGTCTGCTCAGACACCCTGTGAGCTACCGGGTGCTCTGAGGAAAGACCTTGGTAACCAAGCTTTGCCCCCACTGGGGAAGGCAGGGGTCAGCCAGTGGGAGGGTCCCCAGGCCGCTGGGGCTTCATGTGAGAGGCAGAGCCCCAGCCCACACGGGGAGCAGAGCTGGTTTCCAGAGGCCTCGGGATTTGGCTCGGGCAGCCCAGCATTCCCAGAAGTCTGTGCCCAGTCCTGTGGGTGAGAAGCCCCTCCTTAGCCAGACACAGGGTTCCTAGAACATATAAGGACGGTGTCCCGAGGGTGGGGCAGAGGAGTTCCACGCCGGCTCTTCCCCTCACCAGAAGTAGGGCAGGCACCAGCCCAGCCTGGAGCCCAGCTCCTTCCCCAGGGCTCTGTCCTGGCGGCCGCCCTCTGAGCCCCCTGGGTCCCGCTGGGTCCCGACCCACACTCCCACGGTTCTTGCTCCATGGAGTGAGGCTGCATCCCCTCTGCCATCCTCCTCCTGCGGTGGGCTGGGGGCCTCTACCACAACCCTGAGCCCACCAGAGCCCTGCCTGCCCCGCGAACTGGGGATGGCTGGGCCACCTCCCTGCCTTGCCCTCAGGAGTCTCTGTTCCCGGCCCGAGTGGTCTACGACCTCCTGTTCTTCTTCATTGTCATCATCATTGTGCTGAACCTCATCTTTGGGGTGATCATCGACACCTTTGCTGACCTGCGCAGTGAGAAGCAAAAGAAGGAGGAGATTCTCAAGACCACGTGCTTCATCTGCGGTGAGGCCTGGCTCCAGCCCCGCACAGGCCGGGCGCCCTTGGGCTGGGACATCTGGGCCAGTGGCAGCCTCAGTTGGGCCCGTCCCTGGATCCCTGCGGCCACTGGGGCACCCTGCCCTGGGGCTGACGGCCTGGTGGCTGTTTGCTCCTCTCAGGACTGGGACAGCAGAGCCCTGCCTGAACTCGGAGTGATAACGGGGCGGAGGGTCTCAGACCATTCCTCCTCTTCCTCCCGGTTTCCGGGGCACCAGAGCCCGGCCAGCAGCCTCGCGCCTCTGCTCTGGGTCAGCTCCCCCATCCCTGGCGAAGTGCTGGTTGCCTCCAGCACCGCAGGCCAAGGAGCAGGTGTCAGCTGTAGGGCAAATCCTGCTTCTCGGGGTTCGAGGAATCCTGCCGTGTCCTCCCATCGGCTGCCGCGGAGGCGGGGCAGGGTTTCCTCGCTGAGTGGCTGGAGCTTCGAATAGAAGTGACCTAAACAGCCCGGAGTGGGCTGTCGCCCTCATCATAGGCCTGGCCTGCGGACAGTCGCCCCTGGCAGCTGGTGTGGGCCGCACCAGGCGGCCCCCGTGCTCTCGGAGGCTGATGGTGTCCTCACCCTGTGTCCTCAGGCCTGGAGAGGGACAAGTTCGACAACAAGACAGTGTCCTTTGAGGAGCACATCAAGTTCGAGCACAACATGTGGAACTACCTGTACTTCATCGTGCTGGTCCGCGTGAAAAACAAGACGGACTACACGGGGCCCGAGAGCTACGTGGCCCAGATGATCAAGGTGTGGGCCCTGGGGGCAGCCTGCGCCTGCACGACTGTGGAGCCCGTGGGGGGCAGGGCGGGACGCTGGGACACTTGTTGCAAGGCCGGCTGGGAGCAGAGCAGCTGGAGCCAGCCCGCGGCCGCGGTGCTCAGCCACTGCCCCTGCCGCACAGTCCCGCTGGGCTCTGCTGTCGGGGAAAAGCCACAGCGAGCCTGGCTGCCCCGGGACGAGGGTGATGTCCCTGGGCCGTGGGTGACAGTGCTGTGGCAGCCTAGGAGGCAGGCCTGCTGCGGCTGTTGCTCTGGGCCATTAGAGGGAATGTGTATATCGCATTTCCATCCGACGTGGTGCGTCTTCAGATTGCCACGCAGCGGATAAATTGCAGGCTGAAAGGAAGGGCCTATTTAGTGGGAGAGAGTTCTGTTTGCTCTTTAAGTCTGTAATCGGCACTGGCCGTTGAGTACAGGCTTACCAGTTGTCTGAGTCACAGCTGTAGGAACCAGAGCGGCTGGGCGCCCCTCCCCTCCTCTGTCCAGGGAAGCGTGGCTTTGCCCGGAGGCCTCCGCTCCCTCAGCGTGCCATCCGCCTGACGGCACCTCCTGGGCGTGGGGCTGCTGCTGGGGGGCGGGGAGGGGCAGGAAGGAAGGCGATTCAGGGCCTGTGCAGAGGCCCCCCCCCCACCTCCGAGGGGTGCTGTGAGAGGGAACAGATGGTGCTGACGGCGGCGACACACCGAGGCAGCCTACCGGAAGCCAGCCTGTCACCGTGCAGGCCCCAACCACACAGCTCGCGGCCCGCTCACTCTGGCTGGGGAGGACCCTGATCCACTCGGACTTTCCCAAGACGTGTCCCTGGGGAGTGCTTTTGCCCTGCAGGCCTTCCTGGGTCGGGCCCAAGCTTGCTCACCTCACTGGTGGTCCTTTCCAGAACAAGAATCTGGACTGGTTCCCCCGGATGAGGGCCATGTCCCTCGTGAGCAACGAAGGGGAGGGGGAGCAGAACGAGATCCGGATTCTTCAGGACAAGCTGAGCTCGACCATGAAGCTGGTGTCCCACCTCACTGCCCAGCTCAACGAGCTCAAGGAGCAGGTGCGCCCCCAGCCCGACCCTGGCGCCACTCTCGGGCTGTCCAGAGGCGCCAGCCCAGCCTGCCATGGGGGAGGGAGGAGGTGCTGGGGCCTGCATGTTCCCCCTTTGCCCAGCCCCGTTCTTGGGTCTGGGGTAGAAGACAGGTCCCAAACACTTTCCCTTCTGTGGGAAGCTAGCCTGGGGGTGGCAGCCCCACCCCTGAGCCCCCGAAAGGCGCAACCAAGCGGAACCTGGTCTGTCTTCCTCTCCGTCTGGCAGTAACGCTGAGGTCAGGCAGCCCCTCCAGGTGGGGTGGTTTCCCAGCTGCACCAGACTGGGTTTGTGGCATGCTAATTGAGAACCAGGGTTTGGGGCTGACACCTCACCGCAGCTGGGCCCGGGGTTGGCGGGTGGGTGCCAGCACCTCAGCAGTGTCTGCAGAGAGGGCGCCGGTGGCCCTGACCTGTCGGCATGTTTAACCACAGATGACGGAGCAGCGGAAACGCAGGCAACGCCTGGGCTTTGTGGACGTCCAGAACTGCATGAGCCGCTGAGCCACGGGAGGCCGCACTGAAGGCCGGACAGGGGACGCTTGGACTGAGAGCTGTGACTGGGAACACTGCCCCTTCCCTCGGGTCAGGTGGCCCCGCCAGCCCACCAGCTCTCAAGGTGTGGTGCCCACCCAGCCTCCAGCTCCTACTCGGCCAGACACCCCCCAAGCCAACCCAGGCTCTGACCAGCACGGAGGGGAGCCACAGAGCCAACGGCCCTGCCTAGAGCCCTTAGGACTCAGAAACTCACTGGGACTCAGTTTACCATAACGCCTTAAAGATAAGTCCTCTCACAGGACTGCTGCCTTGTCCCTTAAAGCAGTAGCTGCCACCCCTTTGTCTCCCTCCCGGTGGGGGGTTAGGAGTGGCCCCTCCTTGCTGCAGCACTACGTGAGCTCCCTGCCTGCCTCGAGGGCGGCGCAGTGATGCTGTGCCTGGGGTCCCAGGGCCCAGGTAACTTATCCCGGCTGTGCTCAGCCCTGCACGGCCCCTGCGGTCTGCCGCGGACAGTGCAGGCCCGTGTCCAGGCCGCTCCTCGGGGCAGCCCCAGGCGGACTACTGACCAAGGGTGGAGTGCCTCCCTCCAGGGTCTGGGGTAGAAGACAGGTCCCAAACACTTTCTCTTCTGTGGGAAGCTAGCCGGGGGTGGCAGCCCCACCCCTGAGCCCCGAAAGGCGCAGCCAAGCGGAACCTGGTCTGTCTTCCTCTCCGTCTGGCAGTAACGCTGAGGTCAGGCAGCCCCACCAGGTGGCTGGGAAGAGGCACGGGCCAGGTGACAGGGCTGGGTGGCTGGTGTTGGACCACTTGTTTGTTCTTTTGGTGTAATGTTTTATAAACCCTTTGGCCTGAGAACTAATATGTTAATTACCTTAAATAAATTAATAGAACTGTAGTCCATTAGAAAGGGATGATGTGTCCTGTACCTGCTGGGGCTGTGGGGCTAATGTGGCCACTGGCCCAACCTCACCTCGGGCTCCGGAGCTGCTGAGTGACACCGTCTCAGGGACTCCCAACAAGGGCCCTGGACAGAACCAGAACTGCCCTTCGTAATCCTACACATTTGACTGTGTCTACTCCAAGACGGACCGGATGGGGTGCAAACGCGTCAAGAGCCCGCGTCCCGTCTTCCTGGTGCTGGTGCTGTCGCCCAGCCCCACCCGCCCCGCCCCTCCTCGCCCCGCCCCTCCTTGCCCCGCCCCGCCCCTCCTCGCTCAGCTGCTGACAGAAAGCTCAGTATGAAACGTGAAGGCCGCTGGTCAGAGCTAAGGTTCCACGGAGCAAGAAGGTGACCCGGCATATCCCCGGCCTCCCACAGAAGCCACCCAGGGTGCTGAAGCCACCACAGCCCAAGGCCCTGCTGGCCAAGGCCTGTCCGTAGCTCCACTCTGCCCCTTAAACCAGCTCGGAACACAGGTTTTCTGCAAGGTCCGGGGCCGAGGACCATGCTCGTCCTTCTGAGTCACGGAGCCATGGGGGCTGACAGGCTTGTCTCATCTCTGCAACCACCCCCTGCGGTTTGCGACAGGCTGCTGCTTCAACGTTTCCTACTTGGGGCGATCTCCAGGAGCTCCCACCACAGACGGGCTCCTGCGGCTGAAGGGGAGCCCTGGCCAGAGGCCCGCACCCCTCTCCTGGGGGCTGGTGGACCCCGCGGTCCCCTCTCCCAGAGACTTCCTACCCTGACCCCAGATGGGCGCGTGCTCAGGGGCAGCCCAGCACAGGCTGCAGCTTTCTCTGGGCAACAGGATGCCCCTGTGGAGGCTAGATGCGATCCCCAGGCGCCGGGGGAGTCAGGGCAGTTTTATTTATTACGCAACATACAGATTCAACACTTAGGTTCGCGGGCGAGGTAAGGTCTGAGCCCAGGCCTTCGGCTTCTCCTCAGGACTCCTGGCGGTGAACTTCTCCTGTAGTTTCTTCCACATGCCTTTGTTCATGTCCTTGAACTCGCCCAGGGTGTCTGCGAAAGGGCAAGGCAGAAATGAGAGGATGGAATGGGACGAGGTATGTAGGCCCCGCAGGCCTTCGCATGAGCTGCCCTGCTTTTCACAGCCCGTCCCTGAAAGAGAAGTGTAGACGCAGCTTGAGAGCAGATCAGACAGCGCACAAAGAAACGGCCGCCAGCGGGACTGGCTCTCGTGTGTGAGGACCGGCGGAGCCACGGGAGCCACGGGAGCCACGGCACCTCAGTCGGCGGCGAAGCTGCGCCCCATGCCCGGCTTGCGTGTGGGCAGAGGCGCTGGGCTGTCGGCCATGCGGCCGTGGGTCCAAGTGCTCACAAACCCTGCCGGTGTCACATGCACCTACTGTCCTCAGTTTTTCAGACGTAGATGCGTCGTCAGGTCGCACAGCCAGGACGTGACAGAGCCAGGGTCTAACTGGGCTCTGTGGGCCCGCCACCTGCTGTGGAGCTGAGCAGGCACCTGGTGGGAGCTGGCCGGGGTCCCTGCCCACCATGTCCCCACTGGGGACTTTGTTCCCTCAAACAAATTATCTTTTGAGCCTCAGGTCCCTTATGTGCAAAGCAGAGAGAAAAATACTCAAAAGCTGTGAGGACTGAAGGAAACCATGGAGGTAACTTGCCTGGCACCCGACCTGCACCCAAGAAAAGGTGGTCACCTTCACAGCTGTGAAGGCAGCAGGGGCTGGTGGAAGGCGAGGGGGCCTTTGTGTAAGCGTGGCCCGTGCCCCCACCCCTCGCACGCACACACAAGCAGCCCCAAAGGAACCCGAACCGGCACTGCTGACATCTGGGCAGGATCGTTCTGCTGTGGGCTGACCTACGTACTGTGGGATGCTGAGAAGCGTCTTGGCCTCGACCCGCAAGATGCCAGGAGCAGAACCCCACCTGTCCCCACCCCTAGCTGTGATAACTAGAATGTCTCCAGACACTGCCACGTGTGCCCTGGGGGGCAAAGCTGCCCCCCCCGTCGAGAACCACTGGTCTAAAGTCTCTCCAGGGCTAAAATTCTATACCTAATCTTACCTGTATATTAAATTTAGATTTCCTCAAAATATCGTCTAAACTTCATAGCCTGGATTTTTATCTGTTAACGAAACTTGTGGAGGAAAAGAACAGCTTTTCTGAACAAAAGGTGACTTACATATTTACTGACACTGACTGCTGGTGGTCTTTAAATGAGGACGCACACTGTACCTCAGCTCTGGGCCCAGCATCCCACCCTTCCAGGTCAGGTTCCCACGGGCACCACGTGGGATGCTGAGGGATGGAGCCCTGTCCACGTTCAAGCCATGAGGCCTCTGTAGTGTTCCATGAGCCCAAGCCCAGGGTGGACACACTTGGGACCTGGACCAAGGCCACTCGCCAGGCCTCAGCACTGCGAGGAGGCTCCCGGCGCGGCAGAGGAGCTGCCTGGTAAGTGCGCTCCGCTCAGCATGACAGGCGTGAGGTGCTGTGAGCCCAGCCGGCAGCCCTCCTGGGGCTGACCTCCTGACCTCCCAGGCACAAGCTGCAGCGCAGGCCAGGCCGGCGCGGCGCAGGGGAGGCCACAGCTCTCCCGCACGGCGGCCTGTCCCGCCCCACTCAGAGATGTCCCTGCGGTAATGAAGAGGGCAGAGCTGCACCTCCAGGACTGACTTCCTTTCTAAATTCCAGTTCAGACTTTGCTGAAACTCTCTAGGTCCTCACAATGACCTTGTGCATCCACGCTGGTCACTTCATGATCCTGCCTGGCAAAAACATCTTTGCCCCAGTTTTCCAGGGCACTGTGATAAAAATAGGATCAGAGTGGATATAAGAGCAGGTGACAGCCAGGTTTCAGTCTGCTCGGAAGGTGAGTTCTGCAATGCCAAATCCCTAAGATGTCGCTGTTGAAGGCTCCCAGAGGAGCAGGAAGACACTTCCAGAGAGCCACCAGAAGGCGAGTGTCAGGGCCATGACCTCTCAGGAGAGGGTGGCCTATTTTTATATACGATATCCTTCACAATAAAAATAGTAGTTTTCCAGAACCTGCCTGCTTGAGCCCAGGGTTCCCCGTCTGGGACAATGGCGATGCGGAAGCCAGGAGGGGGTGGGCTAGGCAGGGTATTTCCTTTCTTAACTGCGGTCTATCAGTGACAAAACATACCCAGTTAAACCCACATCTCACCCACAGACCTGTCCCCTGGGCCAGATAACTCTTAGTGGATACCTCCACACATGTTTATTGAATGGCTTTTTGTTTTAATTAAAACCCTCATTGTTTGTAAAGCCCCCTCAAGACCATAAAAATAAGATTATTTTCCTTCCATCCTGATTTCAACTACTTCCGTTTGGCGAATACATATTCCCCTGTTCCCTGCTGCTCAGCCTTCAATTTAAAAGCTCTAAAGATGGATTTTCTTTTTTAAAATAATGCCTTTGACCTCCATATTCTATAGCCAAAGTATAAGCACTGTAGCTTCAGAATTTCCTCTGGGCTGTTCCACAAGACTGTCCATCAGGCAAAGCTGTCTTATTAGACGATTCCCTTTGGCCTCAAACTCAAAGAACCATTTGCAAACCAACCAGAAAGGGCAGCTGTGCCTTCAGTACCTGTGGAGAGGATCAGCTTGTACTCTTCCAAGGACAGCCCACTGAAGCTCGTGTCTCTGGGGCGAGGGTACTGGGCACACGGGGCAGAGAGGAAGAGGAGAGAGGGAAGAGAGGGGAGGGGGAGAGGGGAGAGAGAGGAGAGAGGGGAGAGAGGATTAGTTCTGCAGCACAACCTGGGATTGACCACCCTGGGAGAAGCCTGGCTCCCTAATGGCATTCACTGGGCCGCCAGGGTATCCAGAGACCAGAAGCCCCACAAGGAGAAGAGCAGCGCCACCTGGAGGTCAAAGACGTCCTTGAAAGAATGGGTGCCATCTGGGGCAGGCGGCTCCAGCTTGAACAGGCATAGGACTCCTCTGGGGAAATACAGTCTGTGACTCAGGACCAGCTGGGCCCACGATTCTGATTTCTAACCAGCTCCCAGGCGATGCCCCTGCTGCTGCACTTTGAGTTGCAAGGATTTAGAAGAAATCCTTTTTCGTGTAGTCTAGGCATTTGGCCATGTACAGGTTGCGGCCAAAGTAGGTTTGCAGTTGTTCATATGGAAAACAATATAGGAAAAAATAATAGTACAAGAATAAAGTCTGTTTCTCATACAACTGTAAACCTACTTTGGCCCCACCCTGCATATTTGGGGAATTACTGAACACATTTCTCAAGCCTGGGAAAAACCACACTGAGTGGAATGTGACAGTAATCATGAAAGGCCTGAGGACAAGCTGTTTTGTCTGACAGGACTTGCCTGATCACCCCCTTTTCACTCCACCAGAATAGATAGGAAAATCTAAGACCCAGCAAGTTACCAGAACACCGAGAAGCACACATTGGCATATAAAATACATGCTTTTTAGTCATGATTATAAATAGCTTTAATTTAAAGGACCTCACAGCCTCTACCAGGTGCCTTTGTTGGCTTGCTTGAAATCACTGGTTACAATCGAAAGTAGCAAAACCGATATTCCTTACGAAACATTGTATACTAAGATTTTCACTTGTTCTTATAGGTCCTCTCTGGTCGGAGGGCTGGGGATGTGGAAGGCTGTGCCCACTCACCTTGTGTTTGTAATAGTTCGAATGGAGCCGTGCTAAGCTCTCATACATCTGATCGCAGGCCTCAGGCTCTGCAACCTGAAAGACAAAGAGCCCCCGCAGCAGTCAGCACACAAGCCCTGCCTCGCCCCAGGCTGCACCTCCAGGAAGGGCCCTTCCACAAGGCGCTGGCGGGAAGCAGGCCAGCGGCTAGGCACTCGGCCTGGCTCCCCACTATCAGAAATCACCTTTGGGAGTCATGGCTCCACCTCACCAACTTTCCAACCCACAGAAAAACTCGATCAATCGAGAGGCAAAGGCACATCTGGTGAGCACCTGGGCCTTGTGAACCACCACACCAGCTGCAGTGGGAGATGCCGCAACAAGACTAACACGGGAAGGGCAGACCTCATAAAGGGGGTACGAAGGGAGTGTGCGTTCCGAGAAGTCAGAGGGGAGGCAGCCCACGTGCAAATGGTCAGTATGGCGGAAGTGAGGCCAAGCTGGTTCTGAAGGGTACATCAGAGTTCACCTCCCGGAGGGGGGTGGTCGAGCAAGGCAGAGGAGGCGGGGATGCTGCCTACACGTCAGCCCAGCCCCTCGGGCGGAGGGGCTGAACATGCAGGTGAAAGAACCCGGGTGGAGAATAATAGAGCTTTTTGAGTTAAGCCTTCATTATGACATATATTAACACATTTTTGACCGCTCACAAGTTAACTTGTGTTTTCCTGCCCAAATATTGCAGACTGCGCATGAGTTAACTGGGGTTTGCACTTGCATTAGCTATTTCAGTTTTTGAAACTCAGGGTAATATAGGATTATTGTATTTGTGGCTCTTCGCCCTCAGGGTCGAAGTTCAAAAAACAGCACACCGTTCTGTATTCTTGAAGTAGCTGGGGAAGGGGTATCTGCTGGTTCAAATGAGTGCAGCTCAGAACCTACCGTGTGGTTTGCCCAAAAACGTGCGGTCCCTGGAGTATGTCTTAGAGATTTCTATGTGGTACGCAATGTGTTAAAGGTTCCTTCGTGAAAAGCAAAGAACAGCCACCTGAGCTGTGGAAATTTGCAAGGAAAGAACATGACGAAACAAGTGAGCTGAGCTGAGCTGAGCTGAGCTGAGCTGGGTGAACTGAGGACTAAGAGGGAGAGCGCAGTTAGGTCCTGCCAGGAAGGACAAGGCCCCAAACACTGAGGCCTTGCCAGTAGAAAGGGAAAAATAAAGAAATATTCAGGGTGCCCAAGCCGGCAATGCCCTTGCTGGAAACTCCAGGGAAAACAGATGAGAGGCGGTTATTTACCTTTCTTTTTATTCCTCACCTGAGGATATTTTTCCATTTTATCTTCAGATAGAGTGGTAGTGGGGGGAAGAGGAGGGGGAGAAGGGGAGGGGAGGGGGGGCGGGGAGAAATGGAAACATAGATGTGAGAGACACACTGACTGGCTGCCTCCTGCACGACCCTGACGAGGGCCAGGGACTGAACCGCAACTGAGGCACATGCTGTTGACCAGAATAGCACCCGAGACTCTTTGGTCCGTGGCCCGAGGCTCTAACTGCTGAGCAAAACTGGCCAGGGCTTATTTCCCTTTCATACCTTGTTTTGGTTTCCCCTTTCCTCCGCCCTTGCTCTTTCTTATCTATAGCTCCTTACACTATTCAGCCAAGAATGCGGAAAGCCCCCCAGAACAAAACTTTCTTTTATGTTTTTTGCCAGAATTCAAATGATGGATTTTCCAACTTAAATCCTTTCTCGAAGGCAAAACACAAATAAGTCAGCAGTTACATGTTTTAATAAGGCCGCTCCGTTCTGCCTCTGTGCCTGTCAAAGGAGGTCCCCACTTTACAGCAACCAAAAAGATGACCATTCACTTAATTGGACTTGATCTGTCCCTGGGTTCAGGCCACTCCTCTCGAGAATGGCCAGGCAGCACATAAGAAGAGAAAGGATTGTGGGCTGAGGAGGTAGCCAGTGTTTGTTGAATACTAAGCAAAGGTATTATCTGAGTGGACTGGGGCTAAGGGCTGAAAGGAAGGAACTGGTGGAAAACTGCGCGACTGTGACTGGGCTGAGGGCGGGCGGCGGCGTTTCCAGGGGAAGCCCAGCTGGCACAGAGCGCTGCAGCGCCCACTCGGGAGCAGTGTGAACATTATGTCTTCAGCAGGGCATGCACAACCAAGAACACAGAAGACAGAGGAACAGAAGGTACAAGACACAAAGGGGAAAGGAGAACAGCACCAGCACCAGGTTCTAAAGAGTATCAGGTAGCGGCTCTCTATGGGGCAGGTCTGTGCCTTTCCCACCCCTTCCTCCCACACCCTCCCCTTCTCTTTCTCCTTAGCTCCAAGGGCCCTTCTTTTGCCTACAGCTCACTTTTTCTACATCTGTGAGTTTCTAAATAAACTTTCTCTTATTAAAAATAAAATAAAGAATATTATGCAGAGTATCAAAAGATAATTGTGCATTTCATCCTTTGCTTGTTCTCTCTGTACCTGTGGAGACATGCCCACCTACACATTTCAAAGAGAACCCCCAGTGTGCAGGGCGTCCGAGCGAGCGGGTCGGCAGCTGCGCAGAGCAGAGGAGTCACGCCGCCTGGGTCTGAGTCTCGGCATCATCACCAACCAGCTGGGGGATGTTGGGCAAATCTCTCAATCTCTTCCTACCCCTGACTCTTAAAATTTTTTCTCACATTTGCTTCATCCTTCTGTGTATCTACATACACATATTTTCCTTCTGATCCATCGGAGAGTCAAGTGAAACATAATGCCCCTAAGCTCCGTAAGAGTTCAGTAGATTTCCTAAGGAAAATTACATTCCCTCCCTTTCTTTTTTTAATCCTCACCTTCGGATATTTTTCCATTGAGTTTTAGATAGAATGGGAGGGAGAGAGAAAGGGAGGGAGAAAGGGAGGGAGGGAGAGAGAGAAAGAAAGAGACATCGATGTGAGAGAGACACATCAATTGGTTGCCTCCTGCATGACCCTGACCAGAGTCGAAGATCACACTTTACTGGGAATTGAACCCATGACTCTTTGGCCTGCAGGCCCCTGCTCTAACTGCTGAGCCAAACCAGCCAGGGCAGGACATTCTCTTATATAACCACAGTTCAGTGATCAAATTCATGACATTTCACATTGATACTGAATTTTATCTAGTGCATCATCCATAATCTAATTCTGTCTCAGTAATAATCTTTATAGAAAAAAAAGTACTTTGGCCCAGAATCGCCTACTGTATTTATCTGATACATGTATTTCTCCTTTCAAATGGGACAGTCCCTCGGCCTTTGTATTTCAATACTGACATTTCTGAAGTCACTGGCCAACTTAACCTTGCAACAGAAAGGAGAACAGCAGCCCCTACTCCTGAGAGCGATGTGAGGGCAGCTGAGGCAATGCCGGGCTGCTGACTCGGGGCCTGGACACTGATGGAGGTGAGGGATTAGTTTTACTACTATTAGTAGTAATCAACAGTGGTATAAACACAGGCCTCTACCTCACGAACTACAAGGAGAAAGAGACAGAACAGTTCAGGATGGTCCTGGTGGGGGTGGGTATTCGCTGCCCAAGGGGCCAGGGAAGACCTGCCAGGGTCCCGGTGGACAGAGCGGAGTGCCCAGAAGGAAGTGGGCTCTCCAGTGCGCGCACACGTCCAAGGAGCGGCAGTCAGGACACGGTCAGCAGATCGGCGTTGCCGTGGGGCTGCTGGGGTGTGGCTTGAAATGAAGTGATGAAGGGACGGGCAATCAGGGGCTCGCTCCACACTGACCACACCTGTGGCCCTGATCCTGGGAGCTTGCAGTGGTCACGGAGCACTCCGTGGTCGGCTCAGTGGGGCACAGACACCGACCCTCGGTCTCCGCCATGTGAGCAGCACCTGCTCACCAGTGGCTGCTGTTCTGGATCACTCCCTCCTACCAGGCCACCATGCCCTTAGGAAAGGCGTCGCACCGCAGACTTGCCTTCCTCCCAGCGCCTCTCTCCAGGGCTCTGCCACTGCTGTCCACGGAGACAGAGCATCCTCATCACATCCACATTCCCACCAGGTATCTCCTCGCCCTCAGAAATGCAAGTTCCCCTCCTGCTTCTCCTCTAACTTCTCCAATGGTGAGAATGTGCCAGCCCCTCCTACCGCACCCTCAGGGCAGGCAGAGAGCAGAGGGTCTGAGGGGAAAAACAATGATCCTCTGGGCTCTCGTGACCTCTTAAAATTCCTTCAGCAATAAAGAGACAGTGTGTTAGGTATTTCATATAATGCCCGGAGCTCATTAAGAATCAGAGAAGGAACCAAACACATATTAATAACCAATCACCAAAAAATGAACTTCCCATCTGCATCCAGAAAGCAGCTCTCTGAGGATGTGGAAGCAGCTCTGTGAGGTGAGTCTGTGGCGTCTAGTCAAGCTGTTCCTGCCTAGTCAGTGAAGCCACGGCCACTTCCAGGTCCATCACACAAGCCAAGCTCAGCAATTAGTCTTGTTTACGAATTAAAAGGACATCAGTAGAAGCACTTGTCTAATTCCAGAAGTCTTGCCACACACCTGTGTCCTACACTGTATTCACAGACTCCAGCACAAACACTCCTGAATTTTGAAATGTAGTTTGCCTGATGAAATGTCCTGTGCACTTTTAGAAATGTTCTTATATACAAGCTTTAAATTCCCTGATTTTGCACTCACACCTAATGAGATTACGGACACTGTAGGACTAATAGCAGAGCTGGGTCTATAAAAGGCAGCCATGGGACGTTAAGAAAAATCCAGCTCTGCCCCTAAATGAGTCAAATAATGTTCAACTGACGAAGTGCCCTTTATGGCTCTAGTTTTGCTCCTTTGCATCTCGCCTGTTCAGCTACCAGTAAATTCCTTTCCTGCATTAAACTTTCATACACACATTCACGTCAGCGCTGCAGGCAGACTCCGATGTTGAATTTTCGATTGGTGCAGCGGCCCCTAGTCTAGTCACACAAAGGGACTCATAAGCACTTTTGGAAAAGGGTGTTACAAATTGCATTGCTAGTTAAGGTAGAGTGAAGGTAGATTCAGTCCAGGAGGATCTATGAAAAAGGGTTTTCACAACTTGGTAATGAACTTCTGAAATGA